AATAGCATCATGAAACATTACTCCAAGACTTTCTCTCTCTCCCTCTCTCTGGCTCTCTCTCAAAGATCAATGAAAACATATCCTCCAGTAAGGATTAAAGTTAATTCACTTGTGATAAGAAAGGGGCTTTTGTAGATTTCATTAGTTTCTCTTCAAAGAAACTGTTAATCAAGGGGTAAAATAAAGGGTTGGTTAATTTCACATTGCCCCTAGGTCTTGAAACTATTAAGACTATACCCACTGCTTTTAAAAAATATAATGAACAGCTAATTTAAATACTTAATACACACTTATAACTCTCAATAAAGAACCATTATGATAAAACCAGTTGTCATCTTTTCTCTTATAAATGTTGAACTGATGAACTTCTATTCTCAAATTATTTTAATTTAGCCCTGGCCAGTTGGCACATTGGACAGAGCTTCGATCAGCCTGCGGACCAAAGGGTCCCGGGTTTGATTCTGGCCAAGGGCAGAACTGGACCCCGGTTGCAGGCTCCTCTTCTCCCTGGCCCGGCACAACTGGGGCCCTGGTCAGGGTGCAAGCAGGAGGCAACCAATTGATGTATTTCTCTCATATTAATATTTCTATCTTTTCCTCTCTCTTCCACTCTCTCTAAAAATCAAAAGAAAAATATCCTTGGGTAAGGATTAAAAAACCAACAAAATAAAACCAACAAAACAAAATATTTTAATTTGCAAGGCTCTAGCTCTGTCTGGGTAGAGTGTTGTCCCAACACTCCAAGTTTGTGGGTTCAATCTCTAGTCAAGAAGCAACTAATGAATGCATAAATAAGTGGAACAACTCCATGTTTTGCTCCTTTTCTAAAAAAAGCAATACATTTTTAAAAAGAAGGCTCTATACGCCGTGAGTCAAGTGTACATAAAAGAAATGACATAACCCCCAAATACACTAAGGAAAAGCATCACTTTTGGGGGTCTTTGTTCATATTTTTAAAGTAGGAAGCTTTCCACTGAACATCATAAAACACTGCAAAAAATTCTTTAATTAATCTTCCATAAAAGGCAAAATGAGGTTGTTAAATGACTCCTTCAAAAGTAGAAACTGAGCTTTTTGGCAATTTAGTTGTTTGCAATACAGTCAATTATGCAGTAGATTGGTAAAGCTAAAACAATAAAAATATTGGTTAAAAGAGGTGTTATTGTCTTTTCCTCTTATTCTTTGAAATTCTTGAGCTTAAAGGTCATTTATCTTCAAATAAGTCATTCAAAATAAGCTCCAATTCAAAGAATCAAACTGGTTCACTAAGTCTTTTTTTAGCAGAAGTGACAAATTTGAATATATTTGCTAGCTGAATAATTTTATTAACTTATAATTCCGTTTCTCATAAGTTTACTTCTTACTGCTAAACTTTAAAACCACTGTTCATGGAAGCTGCTAGTTTTGGGGGAAACGGATTAGGCATACTTACACTTTCCTTTTTTATGTTTCCATCTCTCTGCTCTATTTCCATCTTTTCAGTTAACTTGTTGCCTATAAAACTGGCTAATTAAGCCCGTTTAGTTCTTGCGTTAAATTATCCAAAAAGGTTGGCTCATGAGTAAACTTAAAACTCAGATATTTTTCAGTAAGCAAAGTTATTTGTTAAACAAACCGAGGGCCTCTGAATGAAACCCTGTAGTGAGTTTCAACCTCAGTCACCCCTTAAGTATTGCTGCTTTTCAGTCATTCCAGCTCAGTAAGGCACTGCCCCCAGCCCAATAGGCCTCCCACCTGGAGGCTTAGCTCTCCCTCCGCGCAGACTCAAGAAGCCGGAGACTGGGCTCTAGTGGTGAGCTGGGAACAGTGGGGAGAGCGAAGCTGCCATTAAACTCAAGCATCTCCAGGGTTCCTTCTAGCTGGGAGCAGTGCAAATATAGTTATTTTGCTGCTGAGGAGAGTGCTTTGCTGAATTTTGATAAAGTTATTGCTATTAAAACTTATACATAAAAAAACCATTATTCAAATATGTACATTACAGCCAAATAGGTCAATAATCTAAACTGATGGGTTCTTTGAAAGGATAAAAAATAATCCGTCTGTAAGTTGAGTTCATTGAGGACAAGGCTATGCCCTTCAGTACAGTAATGAAAGTTAGTTGAACGAACTCGTTTACATCCACCCACTTTCTATCATTTCAGCATTTTATGTTTTAAAAAATTGATGTTCAGTACTACCCCTCCTTCCCCCCTTTAAAAATAAGGAGCTTCTTGTAAACATGGTATGGGGAAATATCCTTTAAATATCCTTAAAGTAAATTACATCTAGAAAATTTGTACTTTAGAAAATTAATTGTAATGCTATCAGCAAGACACCCGTGAAAAACATACATAGTGTCAAAACAAGCCAGAGGAAACTCATTTGGGCAAAAAATGAAAAAGGACCCCAAGTCAAATTTATAGAAAATATTCCTTTATTAACTTTTGGTCGAGAATATGTTTATATATTTTCAGAAAACAACTCCAAGACCATGTGGATTCTGGCAACAGAGAGGAATTGATAGGACTACTCCAACCATGAAGACAGAAGAGAAGCAGTCCAGAGATGGAAGTCGCTGATGACGCTTTACCATAATAGCAGTCAGCAGCTGTGTATCACTGCAGGTTGCCCAGGACCAAACCAGAGAGGGTTGGACCTGCATTTTGCCCACCATCCAGAGGGTTGGACCTACATTTGCCCACCATCCAGAACTGAAATATCATTGCTGACATGTACACATAAGGAACTGTTTGACATTGAAATTGGGTCTCAAAAGAATTGGTGGCCCAGAAAGAAGCTCACTACAAACTGATTCATATGCCTTTTAGCATAACGACCATTACCTGTCTCATTTTTGATTCTTATAAGTATATTTCCAGTAGGACATGATCTCATTCATCTAGGGGAAATGGTGAACAACATAGACTGTTGAACACGAACAGACCCAGAGATAAGGAGCCATGGGTTAGACTGTTGGACCTCAAAGGGAGGGTGGGGATAAAAGGGAGAGATCAACCAAAGGACTTATGTGCATACATGTGAGCCCAACCAGTGGTCAAGGACAATAAGGGGATGGGGGCATGAGTGGGGGAGATTGGTTGAGGACAAATATGTGATATCTTAATCAATAAAGAAATTAATAATAAAAAAAAATAATAAGGAGCTTGCGCCAAAACTGGTTTGGCTCAGTAGATAGAGCGTCAACCTGAGGACTCAAGGGTCTCAGGTTCAATTCTGGTCAAGGGCATGTACCTTGGTTGTGGATGCAGGAGGCAACTGATCGATGTTTCTAACTCTATCTCTCTCCCTCTCAGTAAAAAATCAATAAAATATATTAAAAAAAAATTAATAAGCTTGAATTTTAAAGAGATCCACAGTCCTTTATTTCCACTCAAACTGTTAAATCAATTGCTAGATCTTTTTGTTTGAGGAAGCACAGTGAGGACCAAGACATAGGCGAGATCCAGAGGAAAGTAAAACTGCAAAAGGATTAACTTTTTTTTCACCACCTCACGGGATCTCATGAACCAGTAGAATTCCTAGTTTCCCACTTTTTTCTTTTTTTACTTCGTGTGAGAGTTATTATTATTTTTTAAAAAATATATTTTTATTGATTTTGTACAGAGAGGAAGGGAGAGAGATAGAGAGTTAGAAACATCGATGAGAGAGAGTCATCGATCAGCGGCCTCTTGCACACCCCCCACTGGGGATATGCCCGAAACCAAGGTACATGCCCTTGACCGGAATCGAACCCGGGTCCCTTAGTCCCCAAGCCGACGCTCTATCCATTGAGCCAAACCGGTTTCGGCTTCGTGTGAGAATTATTTTTAAAAAAGTTTTTATTGATTTCAGAGAAGGAAATTGAGAATCATTGATTAGCTGTCATCTGCATGCCCCCTACTGGGGATCGAGCGTGCAACCCAGGCATATGCCCTTGATTGGAATTGAACCTGGACCCTTCAGTCCCCAGCCCAATGCTCTACCCACTGAGCCAAGCCAGCCACAACTTTTGTAAGAATTTTTATAAGCCTTTATTTGAGCCAAACATACACCAGGGAGCTGGCCAGGGAACAGGGACTCAAATGTTCCTCTCCAGTTTTTCAGTCATGGTAGTTTCCCAGTTAGCAAAGCTTTTTGAATATCTCGGGTTAAAACTTCACACCTTGCTGAAACCTGTTTGGCTCAGTGGATAGAGCATTAACCTGCAGACTGAAAGGTCCCAGGTTAGATTCCGGTCAAGGGCATGTACCTTGGTTGCAGGCACATCCCCGGTGAGGGGTGTGCAGGAGGCAGCTGTTCTATGCTTTATGCTTCCCTCTCATCGATGTTTCTAGCTCTCTATCTCTTTCCCTTCCTCTCTGTAAAAAAAAAAAAAAAAAAAAAAAAAAATCAATAAAATATATTAAAACAACAACAAAAACTTCACATCTTTGCCCTAGCCGGTTTGGCTCAGTGGATAGATCGTCAGCCTGTGAACTCAAGGGTCCCAGGTTTGATTCCAGTAAAGGGCCAGTATCTTGGTTGCAGACACATTCCCAGTGGGGGTCGTGCAGGAGACAGCCGATGGATGTTTCTCTATCATCGAAGTTTCTAGCTCTCTATCCCTCTCTCTTCCTCTCTGTAAAAAAACCACAAACCAATAAAATATATTTTTAAAAAACCAAACAAACCCCACTTCTCATCCTTACTTTATCGCTAGGGCAGAACCTGAAAAAAAAAAACGCCACTAAAATATGACACCAAAAAAAACAATTCCCCTGCCCCACCCCCCCAACAACAAAAAAAGAAAACAAAAAACAAACAACACAAAACGCGCAAAGAAAACAGTCCCGGAAGTAACTTCCGGGTGGAGGTGGGAGGCACGGATGACTTCCGGTCTGAGGGCACACGCCCACTCTTGCGCAAGCGCGGTGGCCACTTTCCTGTTTCCCCCCCTCCCCCCTCGCCTTCTCCCCTCCCCCAGCGGAGGGGTCTTGAGGTGACAGCCGCTGCAACTGCGACTACAGCCGCGGGAGGAGAAGATGGACAGGAGGAAGGCCGGGCGGCGCCGATCTTCTCCGGGTGAGGACGGGCTGGGGGAGGGCTGAGCGGAGTATCTCCTCGCGGGGCGGCGGGGAGGCCCGGCCGTGGGGCTGCGGCCCGGAGCCCGGAGGGCTCCCGCTCGGCGGGGGCGGGGAGGAGGGATGGGAGGGGAGGGAGCGGAGGGAGCGGAGGGGCGCGCACAATGGAAGACCCCGAGGTCGCCCGCGCCCCGGCGGGTCCCACACCGGCTCCGAGCTGTCACCGAGCTTCCCCCTGACGCCTTTCATTCCTGCCTCCGGTCGGGCGCTCCCTGCAGCAGCCTCAGCGCCCGCAGATCCCCGTCGGCTGGCCGCGGTCCTGCCACGCCTTCCCCGTCCTTCCTCCCGGGTTCCAGTTTCGTTTCGCCGCGCGCCGCTTCCCTCGGTTCCTCGGGTCTTTCTTCTGCATCTTCCTTCCGCGTGGGCAGCAGCGGCTGCGGGAGTGGAGCGGCGGGGCTGGCCATGGACTTTTTCTTTTTTTAGCTTGATGCCTCAGGTATTCTTTTTTTTTTAATAAAGTTAATGCACACATCAGAACACACCACAAAGATTAGCATGGCATTTTTATCTCAGTAGAATTTCCCTCTGTTGCTTTGGTGTCACAGAAGCATAGCAGCTTCTTACAGAGTTTCATATAGTTTGTTCTTGCCAATTTGATTCCTAATAATAACTTTTGCACAATACACCAATCCTAAAGGCAGCTATTGAATGTTTACAGTTTCTATATTGTAAGAACGATCTGGACTATTTTACTCTTCCCAGGCCAAACTTTCAATAATTGGACTGAACTGAAGTATGTATTTATACTACAGGTTTTTTTTGGGGGGTGTGGGGGAGTGGGAGGATCTTGATATGCTTTTCATTGCTTTGCTTAATTCGTGTTAAAGGTGAGAAAGGGTTGGTGCCTTGTAAATATGTAGCCATTGACTCTTAATTCGTCAGATGAATGCTGCAACACGTTGTCCTTCTTCTGCACTGGCCCGCTTAAGTAGCCTTACTTTTCCAGGCTCCTCTTGCTCCTAAAAGCGATGAAAAAGTCGTGTGCTTTTATTCTCAGCATGTCTTTGTTTTGAAGTTGCTTTACGGTTTGTTTATCTTTGAGAGAGGAGAAAGCGATTTTTGTTGTTTTGCATTTATTTCTGTGTTAATTGGTTGTTTATTGTATGTGCCCCGACCTGACTGGGTATTGAACCCTCAATCTTGACTGAGGAACTGAGCTACTCGGCCTGGGATGATGCTTCATGGTGTGAATGACTATCTTCAGTCTTGGGTACTACAATGCAAACTAACATCTGATGAATCAGTTATTTTGTTTCGTTTTCTCTCTCTCTCTCTCTTTTTTTTTTAAATTAATTAATTTATTTATTTTACATATTTTATTGATTTTTTTTTTGCCCCCCTCCTTCCCTCCCACGTATCCCCTCCCTCCCCAGAGTTTTATGTCCATTGATTGTACTTATATGCATGTATACAAGTCCTTGGTACATGTATACAAGTCCTTGGTCTCTTATTTTTTATTCTACCTTTTATTTTTGCAGAGACAGCCTTAACGATTCCAAATGTATTTAAGAATGCCCTGGTGGCAGTGTATCTCAAAACTTTTTATTTTTTTTTCCTGTTCTTAACTGCAATGGAGAGTGAACCCAGATCGCTGGGACATTGCCTGAAGCAGCTGAAAATCTGAAATTCCTTTCATAAGCAACCAGTATTGTCGTGTGTGTGTGTGTGTGTGTGTGTGTGTGTGTGTGTGTATGTGTATTTTAGAGATATTCTTTGCATATGAAAATACATATATGGATATAGAGAAAAGTGTGTATGCCTTCAATAGATCATAGTATTTGTTTTAAAGTACTTTCTTCCTCCCCTAAAACCTACAAGTAAAATGGATACATTAGGAAAATGCACACTGTTCATGTGATGTCATTTGTGTCCTTCCTAACACAACTTGAGGGGTAGTTATTACCTTGTTTAAAATTTGCTCATGAGAATTTTCTCAAGCTTTTCTTCAGAGTACATTGAATCTGTATTTTAAAATTATTCATAAGCAAAAAAGAATTATTGCAAAAACTCTATTATTTCCAAGTTCGCAGTGTACCAAAAGCAGTAAATTAGTTGGGGACAGATTAAAAAAAAATTTGACACCAGAGACAGGTTTCCTGACAGTTGAATGAAATAATAATTAAATTTATTTTATGGATCATTCAAGGTAGAATGACCATTTAACAACAACAAAAAATATGTAAACATATATTAGAGTTACAAAACAATTTATAAATGGGTTTTTGAATTAAAACAGGAAAGTTTAAACTTCAGGTTTTCAACTTTTGCTTCAGACAACATTCTTCATTTCATTCTTTTTTGAATTAAGTGTACATGTTTTTATTTTTATTTTTTAGGGGGGAGAGAGAGAAAGAAACATAGATTTGTTGTTCCACTTATTTATGCATTCATTGGTTGCTTCTTGTATGTGCCTTGAGATATGGACCACACAACCTTGACTTATTGGGATGATACTTGAACCAACTAAGCTACCCAGCCAGGGCTATATATGGTTTTTTAAATTAAAAAAAATTTTTTTTAGTACTTAGGTACTAAGCAGTATATTAAAAATTGTACAAACTTTCATTCTTTATAAAGTCTTATAAGGTAGTTATTAATTCTAATTTACAGATGAGCAGACTGGGACTTAGGGAGGGTAAGCAACAGGAATCAAAGTCTAGTCTTCCTGACCTCAAATGTATAATTTCAACCTCTTCTACTGTCACAGGACATTAGTGAGCCCACCTGGGAAAAAGGAGGCTCCATGGACAATTATGTCTGACAAGAAAACTGTATTTATTTCAGGATTTTACAGGGTGTTTGCTATGCTATCATACATTGTGCTTCTCCAAGAGGTGACTGAGCATGCAGTGATTTTCAAACTTGCTTGATTTTTAAACTTCCCTCCTTCCCCAGTTTCATCATGCAAGCATGTCAAAACTCCTGGCCAGGGGGATGTACATCTCTTATTTAAATAGGGCATGCCGCTGGCCGTGAATTTGACATGCTTGAGGACCTCGGGAAATAGGGAGCAAAATCATCTTTTGAGAAAGAGACTTTCAAGTATTGGGAGCTCAAAATAGAGTAAGAGGTCAATTAGGGGTAAATATATGAACTATTAAGTAACTTAAACATCTTTGTTAAAACAAGTTTGAATGTGTAATAGTAATATTATAGCTGCAGTATAATTATGTGTCTTTCTTCAGCAGTGCTAAGTAGTCTAGGAAGAGGAATTTGGAAGAAAAGTGAATTTAGTTTTTTAAAAAAATTCTTTATTGTTTTACATAAGTCTTCTTATTTTACATAAGTCTTCTTTCCCCCCATTGACCTCTCCCCAGCTGTCCTCAGTGAATTTAGTTTTAATTAGGGTTAAAGGGTATGACAAGATGTGGGGGCAAAAATGGGTTTAGTGTGAGTGAGGAAATGGAAGGGGCAGAGGACAGTATGTTGTAGAATTAGAGGTTCTCATTTGAGAACTTGAAAGGTACAACACTATTCCTTAAATCCATTCATGAGTGTATGTTTCTGAAATGGGGACATGTAGAGGAAGTTCGTTAGAGTATATTAAGGTCAGTCCTTTGTATTGACTGAGTTGACTAATAGAAGTGTTAGAAGTTCAGAATGGTGGTAGATTATAATGATAGGAAAATTATGAATCAAGGATCAGAATATTCTTGGAATGTTAGAGTGTTGGTCTTGGTTCAGTACATGGAGATCACAAGTATGGGTAAAGAATTATATCTAATTTATGGGAATAAAAAAAAGGAATCATTGCAATAAAGACAGAATATTTATTGGAAGTAGTGATTGGGGGAGTAAATTGTTAACTTATAATTTTATAAGTGGGAAAAAAGCTTCTTAAAAGAGTGTCTTAAAAAATAGTCTAAACTGGTTTGGCTCAGTGGATAGAGCATCAGCCTGCGGTCTGAAGGGTCCCAGGTTTGATTCCGGTCAAGGGCATGTACCTTGGTTGCGGGCACATCCCCAGTGGGAGGTGTGCAAGAGGCAGTTGATCGATGTTTCTCTCTCATCGATGTTTCTAACTCTCTCTCTCTCTTCCTCTCTGTAAAAAAACAATAAAATATATTTAAAAAAATAGTCTAGTCAATAAAAATCTAGGTTTCAGTTAAACTAAGGTGGACGAAATGTTCAAGAAGATTCAGAATTTAAGGAAATTGTATTACTCTGGAAAGGAATTTAATGGGCTAGAGAAGAGAGAGAGAGGAAGGTAGATGAAAGGGTAGAGTTGAATACATAAGAGATGCAAGGCTGTAGAGATTGGTGTCTGGGGTGGTGAATACTATGATCCCTAGGCCTGATGATAGAAGGCAGAGGATTGGAAAGTAAATCAGTGGCTACGGTAACACAGGAAATGGGTCGGCAAACTGCAGCTTTCGAGCCACATGCGGCTCTTTGGCCCCTTGAGTGTGGCTCTTCCACAAAATACCATGGCCTGGGCTAGTCTATTTTGAAGAAGTGGCGTTAGAAGTTTAAGTTTAAAAAATTTGGCTCTCAAAAGAAATGTCAATCGTTGTACTGTTGATATTTGGCTGTGTTGACTAATGAGTTTGCTGACCACTGGGTTATGGGAAGGATTGAGTAGCCCCAGAGATCTAGACTGGCACTTTGTTGTCTTACCTGCCTCCCAGATGGGTAAGATTAATGTGAGTCCTCGTTAATTTAGGAGACTGGCTGATATAGCTTGATTGGAGTGTTGTCCTGCACATCAGAAAGTGGTGGGCTCTATTCCTGGTTGGGTGCATGTTGGAGGCAGCTGATTGACATCTCTCTCTCTCTACCTTCGTCTCTCTCTCTCTTAAAAAAAAAAAAAAAAAAGCTGGGTATCCTGCTCTGTATTAAAGATGAGAAACCGAGTTTTAGAGTAGTGACAGCTAGTAAGCAAGATATAATTTTAGGTTGTCTGGCTTTAAAATCTGTACCCTTGAGCACTGTGCTTTACTACAAGAAGCACATCATATATTTGTTAAATGCTTAAAAAACCAACCTAATTACAAGAAGAGGCACATCATATATTTGTTAAAATGATCCAAAAACCAACCTAATATAAGATGGAGCAACTCTATTATAAAAACACCTAAAATTTTGGGAAGTCACAGTAGTATTAATTAAAGAAATAGGGTAACGTGCCACAAAACAATATAGAAGCACTTTTAACTCAATGAATTAGTCTTGGAATATAATAATAATCTATAAATTGTAATTCAAGCAATTGATATTCCTTTTAAAAACATATTGGAAAAAATTGTATTAAATTTTTTTAAATTTCTTTATTGATTATGGTATCACATAATTATCCACATCCCCACATTCCTATCCCAAACCCTTCCCCATATATGCCCACCCCCTGTTATCCATGACCTCTGGTTAAGCTTATATGCATGCACACAAGTTCTTTGGTTGATCTCTCCCTTTTGCCCCCACCTTCCCCTACCTTCCCTCTGAGGTTTGACAGTCTGATCGCTGCTTCTCTGTCTCCAGGTCTGTTTCTGTTCATCAATTTATGTTGTTTATTATTTCCCCTAGATGCGTTGGATCATATGATATAAGGAATTCCCTTAAAAGGACCGAAACTGAGACAAGCCATAATGGTTATGCTGAGAGGCAAATGAATCAGTCTGTAGTGAGTTTCTTTCTGGGTCAACAGTTCTTTTGAGTCCCCATTTTATTTATTTATTTTTAGAAAATATATTTTATTGATTTTTTACAGAGAGGAACAGAGAGGGATAGAGAGTTAGAGACATCGATGAGAGAGAAACATCAATCAGCTGCCTCCTGCACACCCCCTACTGGGGATGTGCCCGCAAGGAAGGTACATAACCTTGACCGGAATCGAACCTGGGACCCTTCAGTCCACAGGCCGATGCTCTATCCACTGAGCTAACTGGTTTTGGCAAAATTGTATTAAATTTAAAATAGACTAGAGTCCGGCTGGTGTGACTCAGTGTTTGAGCATTGACCCATGTACCAAGAGGTAGCTGATCAGGGCACATGCCCAGATTGCAGGCTCAATTCCTGAGAGGGTGGGGGGCATGCAGTGGGAAGCCCATCAATGAGTCATCATTGATGTTTCTCTCTTTCCCTCTTCCTTCCTCTCTGAAATCAATTAAAAAAATAAATAAAACTGACTAGGAAAAGGGGACATATGTAATACTTTTCAATAATAAAGATTTTTAAAAAATTGACTAGAAAGTGAATTTATGTAAGGTAAAGGATATCTTACCATATATTTATTTGACTTTATTCGGGTGGAGAATAATGTGATCCTTAGGCCTGATGATAGAAGATAGAGGATTGGAAAGTAAATCAGTGATCCATGGGGGTGGACATTGGTTAATAAAATTATATACTAGTAGGTTTCAGGGGGTACGATTATATAATACATCATCTGTATGTTGTATTGTGTGTTCACCACACCAAGTCAAGTTTCCTTTCCTCACCATTTATCCCCAATGCGTCCTCTTTAACATCCCCTAACTCTCCTTTCCTTCTGGTAATCACCACACTTGTCTATGAGGTTTCTTTCTTAATCTCTTCCCAGCCTCACAGTGCCCTTCCCCTCTGATCATTTATTTAAAAACTAGTGGCCCAGTGTACAGATTTGTGAATATTGAAAGGAAATTAATTATAAGAAAGATTCGTGCAGTAATTACATTATTACAAAATATTACATGTCATAATAGTCTATATACACCCGTATTTTCCGGCGTATAAGACGACCCCCTAATTTTACAGTTAAAACATAGGTTTATGCTTATATTTGCTGTATAAGACTACCCCCCACTTCTGAGGCAACACCAGTTCTTTTTTTAATAGACCGCCTCTCTGACTCTGGCCAGTCTGAGCAGGCTTTTTACTAGAACATAGTGTAAGTTTTAACTGTAAAATTAGGGGGTCGTCTTATACGTCCGGTCATCTTATATGCCGGAAAATACAGTAATATAGTATTATAAAATTAAAATACAAGGCATTTTAATATTGCTATTTGCCCTTTGTAATAGAAGTGTCAAAGATGAAAGAAAATTAGTAAAATGTATATGAAAATAATATATAAATTGACTAATAAGTAAATAATAACATGATAGCCGAAACTGGTTTAGCTCAGTGGATAGAGTGTTGGTCTGCAGACTGAAGGGTCCCAGGTTCCATTCCGGTCAAGGGCATGTACCTTGGTTGCGGGCACATCCTTAGTAGGCGGTGTGCAAGAGGCAGCTGATGGATGTTTCTCTCACATCGATGTTTCTAACTCTCTATCCCTCTCTCTTCCTCTCTGTAAAAAATCAATAAAATACATTAAAAAAAAAAAAAAAGAACATCAATCAGCCGCCTCCCTCACACCCCCTACTGGAGACATGCCTGCAACCAAGGTACCAGGAATTTAACCCAGGACCCTTCAGTCCTCAGGCTGACACTCTCCACTGAGCCAAACCCGCTAGGGCAGATGTTAGGACTTTTGACAGAGAATTTAGTTTTTAGACCAGACCCAAGTTTGCCTTTATTTTTAAAAAAATTGTCATCATAAAGATTCTCACAAAATTTAAAAAAAAAAATATTTTATTTATTTTTTTATAGAGAGGAAGGGAAAGGGATAGAGAGCTAGAAACACCGATGAGAGAGACACATTGATCAGCTGCCTCCTGCACACACCCCACCAGGAATGTGCCCGCAACCAATGTACATACCCTTGTCCAGAATCGAACCTGGGACCCTTTAGTCTGCAGACCGACGCTCTATCCACTGAACCAAACCGGTTTCGGCAGATTCTCACAAAATGTTTAATGGAGACATTTTGTGAGAATCTGCTACTCTTTTTATTATTTTTTGACCGTTGTGTTTTTAGTTTATCAGGTTTTGTAAAATGTATAAATATAAATTCTAAATCTATCAAGAAGTTAGTTTAAAGCAAAGGATGGCTGTGAAAGGATTTTTTATTATATTGTTTGTCTTACTTAGATATTAAATGATAACTTTTACCATGTCTTTGTAGAAATTGTCACAGAAGGAAAAAGGAAAAAGACTTCATCTTCTGAGTTACATAAGGTATGCATGAGTTTTCCTTTTAACCTGTTCATTATCTTTAGAGTTACTAATATTGAAAGTATTTTGGTATTTGTCTTTTAAATAAAAATTTAAAGAAAATAATGTAAAACTGTAACTAATTAGTGTTTTTAGGAGAATGGTGTATCCTAATTAACAGAGGGTTAGCCAGGAAACCTTCTATGGGACCAGCCTTGTTTGAAATCATTGTAATTTTTTTCCAGGCCTCATTATAGATTTTATGTAAAACATAAAAGAGTATTTTTTTTAATGACTGAATGTATTAGAGTGCCTCACATTCACTCACTCTAATATTGTAAGTGTCTAAGAGTTTACTCAAGTTATGTACTGAAATTGCTATTTGTAATGTCCTTTTTTTTTCCTTCCTCATTTTTTCCCCCCCTTGATTGCTCCCCTCTACCAGGTTCCCACCCCCGCCTCTGCCCTTTCCCCACCCCTCTTTGTCCTCATCCATAGGTGTACAGTTTATGTTCAGTCTCTTCCCACACCCCCCCTACTCCGAGAATCATCAGTTCACTCCCCTTCCATACCTCTGATTCTATTATATTCACCAGTTAATATTGTTCATCAGATTTTTTAATTCCCTTGGTTTTTAGATTCACTTGTTGATAGTTACATATTTGTTGTTCATAATTTTTTATCTTTATTTTCTTCCTCTTCCTAAAGAACCCCCTTCAGCAATTCATATAATTCTGGTTTGGCAGTGATGAACTCCTTTAGCTTTTTTTTTTAATTAGTGAAGCTCTTTATCTGACCTTTGATTCTGAGTGATAGCTTTGCTGGGTCGAGGATTTTTGGCTGGAGGTTTTTGCTACTCATTACCTTGAATATTTCTTGCCATTCCCGTCTGGCCTGCATGGTTTCTGTTGAGAAATCAACTGTCAGTCGTATGGGTGCTCCTTTATAGGTAACTACCTGCTTTTCTCTTGCTGCTTTTAATATTCTCTCTTTGTTTTTTGCTCTTGGAATTTTAATTATGATGTATCTTGGTGTGGTCCTCTTTGGATTCCTTTTGTTTGGGGTTCTGTGCGCTTCCTGGACTTGTAAATCTAATTCTTTCACCAGGTGGGGGAAGTTTTCTGTCACTATTTCTTTCAATATGTTTTCGGTATCTTGCTCTCTGTCATCTTCTGGGACCCCCATAATTCTGATGTTGGTTCGCTTGAAGTTGTCCCAGAGGTTTCTTACATTATCTTCAACTTTCTGGATTCTCTTGTCTTCTTGCTTCTGTGGAGGAGTGTCTTCTGGCTCTTTAATGTTCCAAATCTTTGACTTGATTCTTGCGATCTTCCATTCTGTTTTTAGGACTCTGTATAATATTTATTTATTTAAATATATTTTATTGATTTTGTACAGAGAGGAAGGGAGATAGAGAGTTAGAAACATTGATGAGAGAGTCATCGATCAGCTGCCTCTTGCACACCCCCCACTGACGATATGCCCGCAACCAAAGCACATGCCCTTGACCGGAATCGAACCTGGGACCTTTCAGTCCCTAAGCCGACGCTCTATCCACTGAGCCAAACCGGTTTCGGCAATTTCTGACAATGTATTCTTTATTTCTAGTTGATCTCTTTTCATATCCTATAGGTCTCGTTTATTTTATCAGCCTTTTCTAGGAGATTCTTGAAAAGTCTTTTAAGTGTGGTTTTGAACTCTATATCCAGTCGCTTTTTGTACTCCATTTCTTTTGTTTGTGATCTGTTTCCTTGTCTTGGCATTTTCGCTGCTTCTCTGAGTTGGTAGGGTGGCTTTGAGTGCTAAGGTGTCCTATATGGTTCAGTGGGTCAGTCTCCCAGTTACCTGAGGTGGACACTTTGGTGCCCCCTTTTGTGGACTGTGGGTACAGCCTTGTAATTAAGTCTTGATTGTTGTTGGTATCACTGGGAGGAACTGATCTCCAGGCCAATTGGCTGTGAGGATTAGCTGTCTGTAAAGTCCTTTTGAACATTTACTCCTTTCCTCCCCTCCCCTCCCCTCCCCTCCCCTCCCCTCCCCTCCCCTCCCCTCCCCTCCCCTCCCCTCCCCTCCCCTCCCCTCCCCTCCCCTCCCCTCCCCTCCCCTCCCCTCCTCTCCTCTCCCCTCCCCTCCCCTAGCAAAACAAGCAAAATGAACTTTTTATCTACTTAGGAAGTGTTTAAAAATGTTTATTTATTTTTAGAAAAATAGTCTTTTTCTCCTCTAGAATTTTGTGATTTAAATGTAGTAGAAACCCTGATTTATGATATAACTAGTAGCCCTGCACATGATTAAATCAAGCCGGTTCCCTAGGCCTAGCTGCAATCAGGGCCACGTCTGCTGTCCAGTGTCACTCCTCCACCTCCGTGGCCCCTGCCCCATGAAGCTCCAGATTAACAGCCCCCACCTCCCAAGGCTCCTCGGCCTCTGCTGCCCATGCCCCTGACGCTCTTCTGCCTTAGCAGCCCCGCGAAGCTCCATGCTCACCGCCACTGCCTCTGCCCCCGAGGCTCCTCAGTCCCCGCAGTCCCGCCCTGTCACACTGTTAGAGCCGCACCGGTCCTTTGGCCATTTGGGCCCACAGCTCCCTCTTCCCAGCCACCACTGCGGCGGCCAGGGGATCACAGCTCCAGCTCCCTCAGCTCCCTAGCCTGGCGTCTGGTCCAGCCTGCGGTCGTTACTGGTCGTTATGGACGCAGGATTTTTATATTAGGATAACTTATTAGAGGCTTTTCTCTAAAGCATTTCAAATTATACACAGAAGGCTTTTCTTTGGCACAGAGAACTTTAATTTGGTACATTTTTGTGGATTAAGGAAGGCTACGAGAGGGAATCAAGAGAACCTTCTAAGACCACACAAGAGCATGACTTTAGATACTTTATTTCTACCTTGGCTTACTTCAGATCTTTAGAATGAGGTTTCTTTTTTTAAATTTTATTTAGAGAGAGAGGGGAAAAGAGGGAGAGAAAGAGAGAGAGAGAGAGAGAGAGAGAGAGAGAAACATTGATGTGAGAGTGAGATATTGATAGGCTGCCTCTTGTGCACCCCCTACTGGGGTTCAAGCCCACAACCTGGTTATGTGCCCTAACCAGGAATTGAGCTGGCAACACTTTGGTACACAAGAGGACGCCCAACCAATTGGGCTATATCGGCCAGGGTGTGGTCACAAGCCTTGGCGGGTCAGGGGAGGGGAAAGAAAAGGGGTAAGAGAAAGGCACGGGTGTGCTCCTGGGAGGGAGAGTGCCTGAACTCTTGCATTTTAAACATGTGGATTTCTTAGGAAATCAGCATATTAAATTCATGTTAGTAGTTTATTTACTGGTTTGGCTCAGTGAATAGAGCATTGGCCTATGGATTGAAAGGTCCCAGGTTCGATTTCAGTCAAGAGCATGTACCTTGGTTGTGGGCACATCCCCAGTAGGAGGTGTGCAGGAGGCAGCTGATCAATATTTCTAACTCTCTGTAAAAAAAAAAAAAATCAATAAAATATTAAAAAAAACAAAAACAAAGATGGTGTTTGCATGGTTACTTTATTGTAAAATTACTCCTTCCCTTTGTAATAAATAGATACCTTGGGAGAGAGAGTTTGAATCTATGCAAGTATGCTTTCTGTCCTTTTTAAATTTATCTTTATTGTTGAAAGTATTGCACATGTCCTTTTTTTCCTCATTGACGTCCTGTCTTTTTTTTTTAATCCTCAACTGAGGATATTTTTTCCATTGATTTTTTTTTTCATTTTTTTTTTTTTTTTAAATTGTTGTGTGAGGCTGCAGTTAGGCATTTACCTATGCCGCCATCTTGGTTTCTCCTCTTATTCGATTTTTTTTTTTCCGAGGAATGGAAGGAAGGGAAGAAGGGGGAGGCAGAGAGAAAGAGAAACATTGATGTGAAAGACACATCAATAGGTTGCCTCCCTACTGGAGCCAGTGGGGGGGATCAAACCCACAACCAGGTATGTGCCTGGCCGGGAATTGAATCCACAATCCCTTAGTATACAGGACAACAATCCAACCAACTGAGCCACAAGGGCCAGGCCTCCCTTCCTTATTTTTAACTTAAAAAAATGTCTCTCATTATCTACAAATATATTGTTCAAAAATATACATATAAAGTTAGATTACTGCATTTTATTTTTATTTATTTATTTACTTATTTAGTGATTTTTTAGAGGATATTTATTAAAGCTAGGATAATGAAACAATGAAGGGCCTAAAACAAGAAGCAATAGAGAAGAGAATACGTGGGGAAATAAACCTAAAACAGCTGCTTTGCCTCACTAAGAAATCATAAAAAAGGGGACCTTGGGGATAGGTTTGGGTGGTTAGGGATGAGCTGCTGCTGCCCATTGCTCCCCTGGTCACAAGCCTTGGTGGGTCCCTTAGGAGATGTATGCCTGTGATGGAGGGGGAAGAAGAGGGGTAAGAGAAAGGCACGGGTGTGCTCCTGGGAGGGAGAGTGCCCGAACTATTGCATTTTAAAAATGTGGAATTTCTTAGGAAATCAGCATATTAAGTTCATGTTAGTAGTTCATATTATTGCCTTTTCTCTTAAGCCAGCTTGTGAAATAAACTACTGAAAGGATTAGAGCATTGATGGGTATAAGGACAAGATACTGATACTATTTTGAGTGTAAAGAATTTAGAAATATTTCTAAAGCAAAACTAGCTTGTTGCAGATAAATTAGAAAATTCAACTGAGCAAAAATTAATACTTTGTTTTATAGCCTTCTAATTTGCCCATCTATATGTTAAAAGAACAGAAAATCACAAAATACCATTTTATAATTTGCTTTTTATACTTAACTATGTTGTGAATATTATTTTCTAAAATAAAATTTAAGGCATTGCTCTGTTAGATAGGCATTGACTACTTAACATGTATTAGACACACATAAGTATACCAAGGAAGCAGTGGTAAACATAGAAAAAATAAGAGCTTATTTGTTTATTTGAGCAAAACTGACATCTGGTGAGCTAGCTCAAATGCTCCAGAGAATAACAGTTTGTCAGCTTCTTTTATGCAT